GACTGAGCCAGGCATGGTGACTCACACCTACAATCCTAGCTACTGGCGAGTCTGAGGCAGAAGGAACCCTTGAGCCCAGGGATTGGAGGCTACAGTGAGCAGTGATCATGCGGCACTGCACTCCAGCCTGGGAGACACAGCGAGACTCCGTCTCAAAAAAAAAAAAAAAGAAAAAAAAAAAAGAAAACCACATTGGCCGGGGCACCGTGGCTCATGCCTTGTAATGCCAGCACTGTGGGAGGCCAAGGTGGGAGGATTGCTTGAGCTCAGGAGTTTGAGGCCAGTCTGGACAACATGGTAAAACCCCATCTCTACAAAAAATACTCCCAGCTACTTGGGAGGCTGAGACAGGAGAATGGCTTGAGTCCAGGAGTTCGAGGATGCAGTGAGCTGTGATCACACCACTACACTCCAGCCTGAGCGACAGAGCAAGACCCTGTCTCAAACAACAACAACAGCAAAAGGCAGTACATTAATGCCTCAGAAAACAAAATCACAGATGCTGAAATGACAAATTGTACTGTTTAGCCTCCATTACCCAAAGGCTCCTAATTTGAAAAGAAAGGAAAGGCCGGGCGGGGTGGCTCAAGCCTGTAATCCTGCACTTTGGGAGGCCGAGACGGGGTCACAAGTCAGGAGATCGAGACATCCTGGCTAACATGGGAAACCGTCTCTACTAAAATATACAAAAACTAGCGGGCGGTGCAGGCGCTGTAGTCCCGGATCGGAGGCTGAGCAGGAGAATGGCGTGAACCGGAGGCGAGCTTGCAGTGAGCTGAGATCCGGCCACTGCACTCCAGCCTGGGCGACAGAGCGAGACTCCGTCTCAAAAAAAATAAAATAAAATAAAAAGGAAAAGAAAGGAAATAGATGGAGATGTTCCTCACTTCACTGAACAATTTCAAGCCAAAGGAAGTGTCGACTTTAACGGGCAAATACTCAAAATTTCTGCCATCAAAATGAGGAATAGGCCAGGCACAGTGGCTAACGCCACCTGTAACGCCGGCACTTTGGGAGGCCGAAAGAGGTAGATCACTTGAGGTCAGGAGTTCGACACCGGCCTGGCCAACATGGTGAAACCTTGTCTCTACCAAAAATACAAAAATTAGACAGGCATGGTGGCACGTGGCTGTAATCCCAGCTACTCAGGAGGCTGAGGCAGGACAATCACTTGAACCTGGGAGGCAGAGGTTGCAGTGAGCCGAGATCACACCACTGCACTCCACCCTGGGTAAAAGAGTGAGACTCTGGCTTAAAAAACAAAAACAAGGCTGGGCGCGGTGGGTCATGCCTGTAATCCCAGCACTTTGGGAGGCCGAGGCAGGCAGATCACCTGAGGTCTGGAGTTCAAGACCAGCCTGATCAACATGGAGAAACCCTATCTCTACTAAAAATACAAAATTAGCCGGGCATGGTGGTGCGTGCCTGTAAACCCAGCTACTCGGGAGGCTGAGGCAGGAGAATGGCTTGAATCTGGGAGGCGGAGGTTGTGGGAAGGCGGAGGTTGCAGTGAGCCAAGATCACGCCATTGCACTCCAGCCTGGGTAACAAGAGTGAAACTCCGTCTCAAAAAAAAAACAAAAAACAAAAAACAAAAAAAAAACTGGGGGAGTGGAATGGGGAAGGATGCTCACAGTCACCCTGCCTCCATAATTTAACATAGTCTTGAGGTGGTAGTCAGCACAACTAGAAGAAAAAAAGAAATGGGGCCAAATATGGTGGTGCATGCCTGTGGTCCCAGATACTCCAAAGGCTGAGGCAGGAGGATTGCTTGAGGCCAGAAGATAGAGACTAGCCTGGGCAACATAGCAAGACCCTGTAAATAGAATAAATAAAATGCCAGGCATGGGGCTCATGTCTTTAGTCCCAACTACTTGGGAGGCTGAAGCAGGAGGACCACTTGATCCTAGGAGTTTAAGACCCGACTGGACAATATAGCGAGACCCCATCTCTACCAATAAAAATTTAAAAATGTAAAAATTATCCAGATGTAGGCCACCTGGTGTGGCTCACGCCTGTCATCCCAGCACTTTGGAAGGCCAAGGCAGGTGGATCACTTGAGGTCAGGAGTTCAAGATCAGCCTGGCCAACATGGTGAAACTCTGTCTTTACTAAAAAATACAAAAATTAGCTGGGCGTGGTGGCAGGTGCCTGTAATCCCAGCTACTCAGAAGGGTGAGGCAGGAGAATTGCTTGAACCCAGGAGGCAGAGATTGCAGTGAGCCACAATCGTTGCATTGCACTCCAGCCTGGGCAACAGAGCAAGACTCCATCTCAAAAAAATAATAATTATCAGCTGAGTGCAGTAGCTCATGGCGGTAATCCCAGCACTTTGAGATGCTAAGGCGGGTGGATCACGAGGTCAGGAGTTTGAGACCAGCTTGGCCAAGATGGTGAAACCCTATCTCTACTAAAAATACAAAAATTAGCCAGGTGTGGTGGTGTACACCTGTAGTCCCAGCCACTCGGGAGGCTGAGGCAGGAGAATCGCTTGAAACCGAGAGGTGGAGGCTGCAGTGAGCTGAGATCACCCCACTGCATACCAGCCCGGGCAACAGTGTGAGACTTCCTCTCAAAAAAAAAACAAAAAAAACAAAAATTAACCAGACGTGGTGGCGAGCACCTGTAATCCCAGCTACTCAAGATGCTGAGGCAGGAGAATTGCTTGCCCCAGGAGGCGGAGGTAGCAGTGAGCCGAGATCACACCACTGCACTCCAGCCTGGGAGACAGAGCAAGACTCCATCTTTAAAAAAAAAAAAAAAAAAAAAAATTATCCAGGTGTGGTGGTGCACGCCTGTAGCTCCAATTATTCAGGAGGCTGAGGCAAATGATCACTTGAGCCCAGGAGTTCAAGGCTGCAGTGAGCTATGTTGGCGCCACTGCACTCCAGCCTGTGTGGCAGAGTGAGACCCTGTCTCTAAAACAAGAAGAAAGAAATGAGATTGAAAAATAAGAAAAGAAGAAAAATAAGAAATGAGAGGGCAAAATTATTTGCAGATGACTGTATATATGATAGGCCCAAGCAATGTGACTAAAGATATTTCAATAAAAGAATTCTATAAGCTAGCAAGAGACTTAGGGATATTTTAAAATTCATTTCTTGTATACTATATATGTATATAGCTTTAAAATGTATTAAAGCATCCCATTTATAGCAGCAATAAAAAAAGATACACTGCCTGGTTACATGAGTTTTCTTGACATTTGAAGAACTTTTTTTGGAGTCTCGCTCTGTTGCCTAGGCTGGAGTGGTACAGCGGCACAATCATGGCTCACTGCAACCACCGCCTCCCAGTTTCAAGTGATTCTCCTGCCTCAGCCTCCTGAGTAGCTGGGATTACAGGTGCATGCTACCATGACTGGCTAATTTTTGTATTTTTAGTAGAGACGGGGTTTCACCATGTTGGCCAGGCTGGTCTCGAACTCCTGACCACAAGTGATCCACTCACCTTGGCCTCCCAAACTGCCGGGATTACAGGCAAAAGCCACCTTGCCCAGCTGACATTTGAAGAACTTCTTTTTTTTTTTTTTTTTTTTTTTTTGAGACATTGTCTCGCTCTGCCGCCCAGGCTGGAGTACAGTGGCGGGATCTCAGCTCACTGCAAGCTCCGCCTCCCGAGTTTACGCCATTCTCCTGCCTCAGCCTCCCAAGTAGCTGGGACTACAGGCGCCTGCCACCTCGCCCGGCTAGTTTTTTGTATTTTTTAGTAGAGACGGGGTTTCACCGTGTTAGCCAGGATGGTCTCGATCTCCTGACCTCGTGATCCGCCCGTCTCGGCCTCCCAAAGTGCTGGCATTACAGGCTTGAGCCACCACGCCCGGCCTGAAGAACTTCTAAAAATCAACAAGCAAAAACATTTGCAGGATATAACAGGAAAAGACTTATGAAATAGTTTCTAAATTTTTTCACTCATGCAATAGGCAATATTTCCTGTTTGTTTTTTTGTTTGTTTTGAGACGTAGTTTCGCTCTTGTTGCCCAGGCTGGAGTGCAATGGAGCGATCACAGCTCACCGCAACCTCTACCTCCCGGGTTCAAGCAATTCTCCTGCCTTGGCCTCCCAAGTAGCTGGGATTACAGGCATGCGCCACTACCCCGGCTAATTTTGTATTTTTAGTAGAGATGGGGTTTCTCCATGTTGGTCAGGCTGGTCTTGAACTCCCGACCTCAGGTGATCCTTCCGCCTCGGCCTCGCAAAGTGCTGGGATAACAGGCATCAGCCACCATGCCCGGCCTTTTTTGTTTGTTTTTTTTTGAGACAAAGTCTCTCAACTGTCGCCCAGGTGGAGTGCACTGGCGCAATCTTGGCTCACTGCAACCTCTGCCTCCTGGGTTCAAACGGTTCTCCTGCCTCAGCCTCCCAAGTAGCTGGGATTACAGGCACCTGCCACCACACCTGGCTAATTTTTTGTAGTAGAGACGGTGTTTCATTATGTTGGCCAGGCTGGTCTCGAACTCCTGACCTCATGATCTGCCCACCTCGCCTGGCCTGAGTAGTCAGTATTTTCAACTTTGAAAGTACACGTGAGAGGCAGGACGCGGTGGCTCACGCCTGTAATCCCAGCACTTTGGGAGGCCGAGGCGGGCGGATCACGAGGTCAGGAGATCGAGACCATCCTGGCTAACACGGTGAAACCCCGTCTCTATTAAAAAATAGAAAAAATTAGCCAAGCGTGTTGGCGGGCCCCTGTAGTCCCAGCTACTCGGGAGGCTGAGGCAGGAGAACTCTTGAACCCGGGAGGCGGAGACTGCAGTGAGCCGAGATCACGCCACTGCATTCCAGCCTGGGCAAGCGAGGCTCTTGTTAAATTTTTTTTTCATATAATTGCTGAAAAAATAAATAAGTTTAAATTTGCAAAACCATCCCGTTTTATCAGACAAACTTGAGAGTCGAGGTCGGAGTCGGCCACGTTTCGAAGGTGTGTGGCCACGCCCAGCCAGGTCAGCCCCGCCCCCAGGCCGTCAGGCCCAGCCCCCTCCCGTCAGACCCCGCCCCACTGCCCTGCCGAGCGACCCCGCTGGTCGGGTCCGTCCTGCAGTAAATGCACAACCGGGACGGAAGTGCCTCTCTGACAGCGGACCCAGGCTCGGAGCTCCAGACGCTGGGACAGGTGACCCGGGGCGGTAGCCAGCCGGACGGCCTTGCAGGTGGGGCGGAGGTCCCGGGGAGCTCCTCGGGCGCGGTTGTCCGTGGGCTCCGCGTGCCCCAGAGGGCGAGGCTCCGGCAGCGCGGGGGTTAACTAGAGCAGGTCCCAGGCTGCGCGGCGACGTCAGAGCTCGTTTACATAGCGCTCTTTTGGGTTACGCAGTCGTGGGCGGGGTCTGGAGGTCGCTGCGGACCAATCGCGTGCGTCTATGCAAATAGAGGCCGCGCTGGGGAACTCTGCTCCCGCTGGGTGAGAGTTGGCTGCTTTCGGGCCGTGCTGCCCGCGCGTCCTTTCTCCGTGCGCGTCGCCAGGCGTGTCCTCTCCGCGTGTCCACCCACAGGCCGCCCGCAGACCACCCCCGCCACGCGCGGGACACGACACCCCCCGCAGGACCCGCCCATCAGCCCGGAAACCCACGAGCTGCTTCTCCCGGAGGCCGATGCCCACCCAGGAGCCCCCAAAGACTCGCGGCTCCCGGGGGCACCTGCAGACTCACCCGCCTGGGCCTGGGCCCCCGGTGAGCCTGACCGGGAGGGGGTCCCCAGGCCGGGCCTCTAGGCAAAAGATTTAGTCCCCCCAGTTTGAAGGACTCCGGTTTCCCGACACCCCGATTTAACTCCAAACCACGATTCCTGTGGCAGCTGCAAGGACTGGCGCCTGGAGGCCTCAAAACCAGCGCCCCCCGCCCTCCGTGCCAGCCCCAGCCGGGACCCCACAAGGCAAAGCCCAGGAAGATTGTGTTTGAGGATGAGCTGCTCTCCCAGGCCCTCCTGGATGCCAAGAAGCCTATTGGAGCCATCCCTAAGGGGCATAAGCCTAGGCCCCACCCAGTGCCCGACTATGAGCTGTGAGTGTCCCCCATGTGATTCTTCATGCCTGAGATCAGAGAGGGGCACTGAGGCTGGGGCTTTGACAGTTGAATAAGAGTTTACCAAAGAGTAAAAAGAAAAGGATCCCTTGTGGGGTGAGTGGATCACTTGTGGTCAGGAGTTCGAGACCAGCCTGGCCAACATGGTGAAACCCCGTCTCTACTAAAAATATAAAAATTAGCTGGATATGGTGGCGCATGCCTGTAATCCCAGCTACTGAAGAGGCTGAGGTGGGAGAATTGCTTGAACCCGGGAGGTGGAGGTTGCAGTGAGCCGAGATCGCTCCACTGCACTCCAGCCTGGGCAACACAGCAAGACTCTATCTCAAAAAATAATAATAAAGGCGGGGCGCGGTGGCTCAGGCCTGTAATCCCAGCACTTTGGGAGGCCGAGGCGGGCGGATCACGAGGTCAGGAGATCGAGACCATCCTGGCTAACACGGTGAAACCTCGTCTCTACTAAAAAATACAAAAAAACTAGCCGGGCGAGGTGGCGGGCGCCTGTAGTCCCAGCTACTCGGGAGGCTGAGGCAGGAGAATGGCGTAAACCCGGGAGGTGGAGCTTGCAGTGAGCTGAGATCCGGCCACGGCACTCCAGCCTGGGCGCGACGGAGCGAGACTCCGTCTCAAAAAAAAAAAATAAATAAAATAATAATAATAATAAAAAGATGAGGAGAAAAGGAACATTTTTAGTAGGGGGCCCGGCATGGACAAAGGAAAGCAAATTACACTGACTGGGGGAAAGGGTGGGGTTCTTTACGCTCACATTCTGACCCCCTTCAACCTGGTAGTAAGTACCCACCGGTGAGCAGTGAGAGGGAGCGGAGCCGCTACGCCGCAGTGTTCCAGGACCAGTACGGAGAGTTCGTGGAGCTCCAGCGGGAGGTGGGGTGTGCACAAGCAAAGCTCAGGCAGCTGGAGGCCCTGCTGAGCTCCCTGCCCCCACCCCAAAGCCAGGTCAGCACTGGGGAGAAAGCCCTGCCCCACAGCCCTTCTGAGTGGCCCGACAAAAGCCTGTGGGACACCCACTGGATCCAGATTTCTGGGACTCTTTCTACTCTAGGTTGGCTGGGCGCCACACGACACATGGCTTAGGTCAGCCCTTGAAGTCCCCACTAGATGGGCATTTAGTGTGTCTGAGCTTCAGTTTCCCCATCCCTCCTTGAGTTCAACTCTCCCTAAACCCCCTTTCTACTCCTCGCCTTGCAGAAGGAGGCCCAAGTTGCAGCCCGGGTTTGGAGGGAGTTTGAGAAGAAGCGAACGGTGAGTCTTGCATCCCACAGCTTGGTCTTGCACCCCGAGACTTCTGTGAGGCTGGGGTGCCTGTGTCGGTTTTTTTGTTTGTTTGTTTGTTTTTGAGACAAAATCTCGCTCTGTCGCCCAGGCTGGAGTGCAGTGGTAAGATCTCAGCTCACTGCAACCTCAGCCGGCCGGGTTCAGGCGGTTCTCCTGCCTCAGCTGGGATCACAGGCGCTCACCACCACGCCTGGCAAATTTTTGTATTTTTAGTAGAGACAGGGTTTCACCATGTTGGCCAGGCTGGTCTAGAACTCCTGACCTCAAGTGTTCCGCCCACCTCGGCCTCCCAGACTGCTGGGATTACAGGCATGAGCCACCTCACCCAGCTCACCCAGTTGCCTGTGCCCAGTTTCAAGGAGAGAAAATTAAGGCTCGGAGAATGAAAGGCAGAGGGTTGAGCAGCTTGAGGGCCACAGGGCAGACTGCTGCAAGGACTTCCGGGTCTCGCCCTGCCTAGGATCCTGGCTTCCTGGACAAGCAGGCTCGCTGCCACTACCTGAAGGGTAAACTGAGGCATCTCAAGACTCAGATCCAGAAATTCAATGACCAAGGAGACAGCGAGGGCTCTGTGTACTTCTGAGTGCCCCTGCAGATGGGCAGAGGGCTGCATGGGGATGCAGGCCCCTTGCTTTTCTTGGTATCTCCTCAGCCTTTCCTCTTGCAGCTCCCCCTACCAGGGGTAGCTTTCTCCAGGATTGCAAATGCCTCTTCATTTTGGACTCGGCGCTGACAGCTCCTCCTCCAGGAAGGCCTTCCAGGTCTTCCTCCTCTGGGCCCTCTAGCTTTGACCCTATAGGGACTCCAGATCTCAACCTGTTCCCTGGAAGTAGGGCCTGCTCTCCATCCCAGTGAAATAAACATGTATTAGACACCTACTGAGTATAATTACTTAACACTTCTGATTTCACTCAGTTGTCATGCATACAAAAAGTTTTTTGTTTTTGTTTTTGACTGTGTCTCACTCTGTCGCCCAAGCTGGAGTGCAGTGGCGCAATCATGGCTCACTGCAGCCTCAACCTCGCAGGCTCAAGCAATCCTCCCACTTCAGCCTCCTGAGTAGCTGGGACCACAGCCATGTACCATGACGCCCCGGTTAATTTTGTTTATTTTTTGTAGAGATGGGGTCTATGTTGCCTAGGCTGGACTCAAACTCGTGGGCTCAAGCAATCCTCCTGCCTCAGCCTCCCAAAGTACTGGGATCACAGGCATGAGTCACTGCACCCAGCCATCACCACAAAATTGTTCCTTCATTTCCAGAGGAGAAAAAATATGAGGTTCCTGCTGGGCACTGTAGCTCACTCCTGTAATCCCAGCACTTTGGGAAGCCGAGGCTGGCAAATCACCTGAGGTCAGGAGTTCGAGACCAGCCTGGCTAACATGGTAAAACCCCGTTTCTACTTTAAAAAAAAAAAAAAAAAGGCCGGGTGCGGTGGCTCAAGCCTGTAATCCCAGCACTTTGGGAGGCCGAGGCGGGCGGATCACAAGGTCAGGAGATCGAGACCACAGTGAAACCCCGTCTCTACTAAAAATACAAAACATTAGCCGGCGCGGTGGCGGGCGCCTGTAGTCCCAGCTACTCAGGAGGCTGAGGCAGGAGAATGGCGGGAACCCGGGAGGCGGAGCTTGCAGTGAGCCGAGATCGCGCCACTGCACTCCAGCTCCAGCCTGGGCAACAGCGTGAGACTCCGTCTCAAAAAAAAAAAAAAAAAAAAAAAAAAAATTAGCTGGGTGTGGTGGTGCGTGCCTGTAATCCCAGCTACTATGGTGGCTGAGGCAGGAAAATCACTTGAAGCCTGGAGGCGGACGTTGCGGTGAGCCAAGATCTTGCCATTGCATTCCAGCCTGGGCAACAAGAGTGAAACTCTGTCTCAAAAAAAAAAAAAAAAAGGTTCCACAAAAGGGATTTGTCTAGGATCTCTGGGTAGGGTTTGAACCCTTAATGGGGGTTCTCTCTCCCCCAAGAGCCTCAAGTTGCCTTCCAGTTAGAGGCCAACATCCAGCGTCACGTCCTCGGCCAGGCTTGCCGGGGAACACCAGGGACCAAAATTTTTTTTTTTTTTTTTTTTTTTTTTTCTGAGACAGTCTCGCTCTTGCCCAGGCTGGAGTGCAGTGGCATGATCTCGGCTCACTGCAACCTCCGCCTCCCTGGCTCAAGTGATTCTCCTGCCTCAGCCTTCCGAGTAGCTGGGATTACAGACACCTGCCACCACACCCAACTAATTTTCGTATTTTTAGTAGAGACGGGGTTTCACCATGTTGGCCAGGCTGGTCTGGAACTCTTGACCTCCAATGATCCGCCCACCTCAGCCTCAAAAAGTGCTGGGATTACAGGTGTGAGCCACCCTGCCTGGCTGGGACCAAGAGTTTCTGTGGGTCTAATAATGGAGACAAGATCGCTAGGACGCCAGTCTTGGTAGAACAGCCTTCTGGAAGATCCAAGGGATGCCATGCTGGGGTCCACCTAAAGGGAGTGGGCTCAGCCTGGAAGCCCTGCAGGAGGCCATGAATGCACCCCAGACAAATGGATTCCTCCACTTTTTTTTTTTGAGTTGGAGTCTTATTCTATTGCCCTGGCTGGAGTGCAGTCGGCTCACAGCAACCTCTGCCTCCCAGGTTCAAGTGATTCTGCTGCTACAGCCTCCTGAGTAGCAGAGATTACAGGCACCTGCCACTGCGCCCAGCTAATTTTTGTATTTTTATTTTATTTATTTATCATTATTATTTTTGAGACAGAATCTTGCTCTGTTGCCCAGGCTGGGGTGCAGTGGCCGGATCTCAGCTCACTGCAAGCTCCGCCTCCCGGGTTTACGCCATTCTCCTGCCTCAACCTTCCGAGTAGCTGGGACTACAGGCGCCCGCCACCTCGCCCAGCTAGTTTTATGTATTTTTTAGTAGAGACGGGGTTTCACCGTGTTAGCCAGGATGGTCTCGATCTCCTGACCTTGTGATCCGCCCGTCTCGGCCTCCCAAAGTGCTGGGATTACAGGCTTGAGCCACCGTGCCCAGCCAATTTTTGTATTTTTAGTAGAGACAGGGTTTCACCATGTTGGCCAGGCTGGTGTCGAACTCCTGACGTTAAGTGATCTGCCCACCACCTCCTCCTCCCAAAGTGCCGGGGTTACAGGCATGAGCCACCACACCCAGCTGGATTCCTCCATTCTGTGTCTCCCTGGGCACTTCAGGACAGCAGCTGACCCCAGGCACTGTGTGGGTACATCCATATGCATGGCCTAGGGGGAGGGCCTTCCAGTGTCCGACCCATCCCAGGCCCTGGCTGTGATGGGTGGGGCACAGGTGGAGCCAGTCTCCCCATGGGGGCCATGTAACAGCAGACCAGAAGCTGTGCTCTGAGTGTTAGTCTCCCAAGGGAGCCACAGGGGACAGAAGCAACCAGGAAGACCAATTACATGCAGGGAAGACAGTGTCAACCACTGAGCCACCACGATTGTCCTCAAGAAGGCCCTAGTCTGGGGAAGATAGCCCTGAGTCCAGTAACAGAAAGCTGCCCAGCAGAGTCTTAATAGCCAGGGAGGCTCAAGATCTCGTCTTGCAGGAAGGGCCATGTGGGTAGGGTTTTGTAGGAAAAGTAGGAGTTCGGCAGTCAGGCCTTGGACAGACATCCAGATCTCTGGCCTGGGGCCAAACAGCAGGACACCATGGTCTCACTCAACCCTCAGATGTCCCATGCATTAGATAAATGGGACCTTGCTGTCCAGTTTGATTGTAGACATGGACCCACTCACTCACGGGACACTGTGGGAAACCCTGGCCTAATGCAGAACCCAGTGCAGCCTTCAATGGGAACCAGGTGTCCTCTCCATCCCGCCCCTGCCTCAGTTCCCTTCTGGGAACCTGCCCACAAGAGACCCTCACCGACTCCACAGGAGGGGCCTAATCTCTCATCTTCCAAGGCTGTCTTCAAGATGGACATGGGAAGACTGGGGACCATTTTGGCAAACTGGGGCTGCATAAGGGCTGAGCACTGGCCCAGCAAGCAGCGTGACAGATTTGACTTCTTCCCTTGCTGTTTTCACAAGGCCATCTTTTTTGTTTTTTTTTGAGACAGAGTCTCCCTCTGTCGCCCAGACTGGAGTGTAGTGGTGCAACCTCAGCTGACTGCAACCTCCACCTTCCAGGTTCCAGTGACTCTTGTGCCTCAGCCTCCCAAGTAGCTGGGATTACAGGCTCCTGCCACCACGCCTGGCTACAGAAGGGCATCTTTGATGGAGGACTTGCCTCTGCTTGACAGCACATCAGTGAGAGGTGCCACCCCCACCACCATTCGGGCCCTTTCTCTCTGCCCCCCTACAGCTCTGGTGCCCAATTCCACAGGTGCCTTTCCCACCACAGAGCGGTGCCACAGACTCCCGAGGCTGGGACGGGAGAGTCCCTGGTACCCCACATGATTCCGTATCACCCAGTGAAGCCCACATTTCAAAGTGTTGGCCTTCTAGGTCCCTGCCTCCCAAACGTCAATCTCTGAAACAGATTTTTAGTTCCATGTGAGGAAAAAAAAATTGAAGTCAGATTGACTCAGGCACAAAAGGGGGACGACTGAGTTCATAGAAGTTAAAACACCTGAGGGTTTCAGGTATGGCTTGATCCAGGGGCTCCAAAGGCATCTTGGGAAATTGATCTTCCATCCTTGGCTCTGCTTTAATTAGATTCTCCCAGTTCCAAATCCTGCTGTGGAATCTCACTGGCTAGTTTGGAATCTCAGGCCCTCCATAAACCAGTTGCTGTGGCCCACGGAATGGTGGTCTGATTGGCTGGCCTGAGATCATGTGACAGGACTGGCCTCAGAGGTTTCTCCCAAGGACATCGGAGCCCAAACAAGATTAAGGACCTGGTGGCTGATGCCTATAATTACACCACTTTGGGAGGCCAAGGCAGGTGGACCACCTGTCAGTAGTTCGAGACCAGCCTGGCCAACATGGCAAAACCCCATCTCTAATTAAAGTACAAAAATCAGCTGAATGTGGTGGTGCACACCTGTAATCCCAACTACTCAGAAGGCTGAGGCAGGAGAACTGCTTGAAGCCGGGAGGCAGAGGTTGCAGTGAGCCAAGACTGTACTACTGCATTCCAGCCCAGGTGAAAGAGCGAAACTCCATCGCAAAAAGAAAAAAAAAAAAAAGATTAAGAGCCGACCAAAAAAAATAATTAAGTGAGGCTAGGCGCGGTGGCTCACACTTGTAATCCCTGCACTTTTGGAAGCCAAGGGCAGGGGTGGTGGATCACGTGAGGTCAGAAGTTCGAGACCAACCTGGTCAACATGGTGAAACCCCATCTCTACCAAAAATACAAAAAAAAAATTAACTGGGCATTGTGGTGGGTGCCTGTAGTTCCAGCTACTGGGGAGGCTGAGGCAGGAGAATCACCTGTACCTGTGGGGCAGAGGTTGCAGTGAGCCAAGATCGCGCCACTGCGCTCCAGCCTGGGTGACGAAGTACCACTCTGTCTCAAAAAAGAAAAAAAAAGACCAGGGAGGCTGTGCAGGTAGGAAATGTCTTTATTATTGGCCTTGATTGAGTCATCATGTAGTGTCTGACATAGATTACGTGTCCAGAGGATCTGCCTGGCACACGCTAGCTACCCCTGCCCACGGGAGCGGCCCCTCCGGCCCAGACGCCAGGCCTTTGTCCATCATGCCAGGGAAGCCAACCCTACCATCCCACAAGTTCATGCTTGGGGTGCCGAGGGACAAGGCTGTCCCAGGATTGGACCCTCCATCCCTTACCTCCATCCTGGCCAGGGGTCCTGGGGAGGACGAGGCTGAGGCCTGGATGGATCAGTCTCTTTTTGGTTTCATGATCATTTAAAAAACAGAAAAGACAAACATTTCACAGTCTTTAAAAAATAGAAGTCTGAGGAGAGAA